GGGGTAGGTGGGCCTCCAGGGGTAGGTGGGCCTTCTGGGGGCCTCCATGGAGCCTCCAGGGGTAGGTGGGCCTCCAGGGGTAGGTGGGCCTCCAGGGGTAGGTGGGCCTCCAGGGGTAGGTGGGCCTTCTGGGGGCCTCCATGGAGCCTCCAGGGGTAGGTGGGCCTCCAGGGGTAGGTGGGCCTCCAGGGGTAGGTGGGCCTCCAGGGGTAGGTGGGCCTTCTGGGGGCCTCCATGGAGCCTCCAGGGGTAGGTGGGCCTTGTGGGGGCCTCCAGGGGTTGGTGGGCATTCGGGAGTAGGTGGGCCTCTTTGGGGCCTCCGGGCCTCTTGGGGCCCGGGCCCCCATTGAAGCCCCCCCCCCCCCCCCCCCAGGCTGAACCTGCGTGAGCTGGGCCCCCTGGCGGCGCACATGCGCTGGTTCGTGTGGCTGATGGCGGCGGCCGGGACCGTGTACGTGTTCAACTACCACGAGAGGTGAGCAGAGTCCCGACACCATCCTTCATTCATTCACCACAGATCCACCACCCTACTGTCCCCCTGCCCCCCTGTGTGTCCACAGGTACAAGCTGGTGGAGCTGGCCTTCTATCTGACCATGGGCTTCTTTCCTGCCTCCGTGGTGACCTCCATGGTAACGCCTTTTCTAAAAAAACAAACAATCGGCCAATCGGTTTCAGATCAGCCGTGTTCAGAAATGTTTCTCTATGCTTTTTGCTGCAAACGGAAGTCAGTCAAAATTCAGTCTTATTTTTAAATTCCATACTCAACTCACCTCAAACTTTATTTATAAAGCACATTTAAAACAGTTGCAGGAAATAAGGTAAAAACCAAAAAGCTAAAATGCATAAACACAGTGCAATAAAATAGAATAAAATAAGTTAGAAATAACTTAGTAAATAAAAATAAATACTTTTTTTTTTTGCCAGATGTCCACTTAGATTGGATTAAAAGGGAGAAGAAGTGTGTTTTTAGGGAGGATTTAAAAACCTCAAAAGATCCTGCAGATCTAATGTTATTTCAGAGCCTCCTTATTTTTTTTAAATTCCATACTCAACTCAAGTCAAACTTTATTTAAAAAAGCACATTTAAAACAAGCCGAGTTGAGCAAAGTGCTGTACAAATATCAGAGTTATAGGAAATAAGGTCAAAACTAAAAAGCTAAAATAAATAAACAAATGCAATAAAATAGAAATAAAATAAAATAAAATTTAAGATGTATAAAAGTTGAATAAATTACTAAAAGTTCAAATGTAAATAAAAACGTAAATAATTTTTTTTTCCAGATGTCCCCTTAGACTTGATTAAAAGGGACGATACTCATTTTCAAAAGTATCGATACCCCCCCGCGCCCCTTCTCTCTGATTTTATTTATTTATTTATGTTGTTTATAGTCATTAACGTGACGTTAGCCTTGAATTGCTAGCTGCGGCTAACGGCTGATAATAACACGCCAACATTAATCAAGTCTGTCCGGCTGCCGACTGTAAGAAGCCAAGGATGGATATCTAACTCCCCCCAATCCAAGTCAGCCATTTTGATTAGGTCACCAATAGGAAGATCCCAGGCAAGAAAATCCTAATTGCTTCATGGCAATATAGACATTAATTTAAAAATATTGAAACACTGAATTAAACTCTATTCATAATATTATGTTAAAATAGTGGATGTTAAATAGGTTTGTACAATAAGTCCAAACAAGTTTAACCAAAAATGATTTATTTCTCACAATTATGAAGGGTTAGGGTTAGAGTTAGGGTTAAGGTTAGGGTTAGGGTCATTAATGTGGGCCACCATAACACCAGTAACAGGTCAGTTTGAAACCAAAGACACTAACCTGTCCAAACTCAGTTACATTTTGGGGTCTTTGTTTTTATCCTTGTGGTATCGAAAATGGTATCGAGTATCGAATATTTTCCTGAGTATCGGTATCGAGTTGAACATTTTTAGTATCGTGACAACCCTAGTCCTGAACCGAGGCTCTTGGTGTCTTTTCTTCTGGTTTTCTGTGTCTTATATGATATTAATTATAGTATAAGATAACTTCCACTTATAAAAGTATTTATTTTTTATGACTTGAACTTTATTTAGGTTTTAACAAAATAAAACATACAAACAAACAAACAAACCATGTTGCACATCAGACCAATTGGGTATGCAAGCACTGAAAACATGGACAATATAATACAAAAACAAACCACAAAGGAAGACCAAGAAGGTATTTTTCTGATTCTGATGATTCGGCCGTGGCTCCTCTGTTGGTGCCACCTTAATAATCACAGAGGGATTATTAAGGTATTTCTTTTTCTTTTTTTTATGACTTGAACTTTATTTAGGTTTTAACAAAATAAAACATACAAACAAACAAACCATGTTGCACATTAGACCAATTGGGAATGCAAGCACTGAAAACTGGGACAATAAAAAACAAAAACAAACCACAAAGGAAGACCAAGAAGGTATTTTTCTGATTCTGATGGTTCTTTTTCTTTTTTTTATGACTTGAACTTTATTTAAGTTTTAACTAAATAAAGTCTGACCCCTTTTTTCCCCCCCCCCCCCAGAGCAACACGGAGGGCCTCCCGGAGCTGGCCTGCGGGGGCCTGCTTTACTGCCTCGGCGTGTTTTTCTTCAAGAGCGACGGCGTGATCCCGTTCGCTCACGCCATCTGGCACGTCTTCGTGGCGCTGGCGGCCGCCGTGCACTACTACGCCATCTGGAAGTACCTCTACAAGGCCCTGGACTCCTGACCCCCCCCATACACACACACACACACAGAGACACACAACCGCCCAATGGAGCTGCCACGCACGCCACCAGCAAAAGTTTACCAAAACCGAGACCAAGCATTGTTTACCGTTTACCAAGAGATCTGGACCCCCCGGCTCTGTCCCGGTAACGGGAGTTTACTGGG